TTCATCCTGTTTTTTCCTTTTTTCCTCCTCTACGAAAATATTTCAACTCACTTATACAATTTTTCAGAAAAAAAAAAAAAAAAAAAAAAACAAAAAAAATGTTTATTTACAAAAGTTTTTTACCTAAAAAACTAATCGCAATCAATTAAAAAAATTAAAAAATTTTTCATCTCGTAAAATTTTTAAAATGATCTATTTATACGTTGTTGTCCCATATATATAAACATCTTTTTACAATTTTTTTTTTATTGTCCGCGTTATCATTGGTCAGATCAAACCCATTTAATCTAAATGTAAATTTTATATATATATATATATGTATTGAACTTATTTAAAAAAAAAAAAAAAAAAAATTATTACGTCACTGTAAATTACGTAACGAAAATTTTATAAGTAATTAATAAAAAATAAAATATTTATTTATTAAAATAAAATTATTAAAATTAATTAAATAAATTCATAATAATACTTTATCGACTCTTATGCATTCGCGCACTCTCTTCTCTTTTTTCATTATCATTATCATCATCATCATCATTATATCATCATCATCATCATCATAATCGGCGTGAATAATAATAGTTACATTAATGGTAATCACATAAAAAAAAAAAAGAAAATTTTTTTTTTCTCTTTTTTTTCTCTTTATCGAAAACTTTGCTTTCGTAGTAAGTTGTAAAAAAAAAGTTATCGCGCCTAAAAATTATTAACTGCGTCACCAATTAAATTTTATCGAAGTTTTCGACTTTTAAATCGAAGGTCACAAGACATGCGATAAATCAAATAATGCTAAAATAGTTTTTTTTTTTTTTTTCTTTTCTCTCTCATTTTCTCTATTTTTTTTTTTTTTTTTTATTTTTCAAACTACATTTTTATCATTTTATTTAAAACTTTTTTAATAAAAAATTAATTGATAATGATTTAAAAATTAAGGGAAACCGTTATTAATAATACTGTTGGGGCTGAAGAGAGGGGAGGGAAAGAGGGAAAGGGATCGGGATTAAAAAAAAAAAGATCTTGGCCATTTCTTATCCGGTAAAGGAGGAAGAGAGGGGGGGGTTAACCCAACAACTGTGTTCTATCCTTTTTGAAATCGTCGTCGTTACTCATTTGGTCAAAAAAAAAAAAAAACTTGGATTTAATCTTTTTCCTTAAAAGTTTTTACATTAAAAAATTTTCTTCCTTTGTTTAACTTGTTTTTAATTAATAATTTTACATTTACGGTATTAACTTTTAAACAAAATAATAATAAATTTCGTTTTGTTTTTAATTAGTTTAAGAAACACAAAAGCAACAAAAAAAAATTTTTTTGTTTTTTTTTTATGGGAAAATAAAATAATCATGACAAAACGATTTAAAAAACATTTTTTTGAAACTTTGTTAATAATTAATTAAATATTTATGATAATAATAATAATAATAACTTAAAAAGAACAATTGGGTAAATTTTAATAAAATTTAATAACGAAAAAAAAAGCAAAAAAAAAAAAATTTGTATACCTTCGATGATTAATTAACAACATCAACATAAAAATTAATTTTTTTTTTTTTTTTTTTTTTAAACACTTAAACAAACAACAATAAAAAAAAAAAAAAACCACAAAAACAATCAACGAAAAAGAAGGAAAGAAAAAAAAAAAAAAACAAAAACGCGCACTTATGACGAAAACAACAAACAACAAATAAACTATAGAGAGCTCGCATCCGTTTAACCAAATAGATATAATATACCATGCGAATTTAGTTGTTGCAGTGGTAGCAGAACGCCACAACAACAACAACAAACAAACAAACGAAAAAAATTGAATTTTATATAAACTTAAAAATGTCAATTAATAATAATAATAATACTCTTACTCGAACGAGTTTTACGTTTTAATTTATAATGAATCGCACGCATATTTTTATTGTTATCGATAAGAATTAATAATAACCTTTTTTCCTTTACTCAATTTATTTGCTTTAAATTTAATCGTTTTAATTATTATTATTATCATTATTATTATTATTATTTTCGATAATTTAAATGAGTAAAATTAAAAAAAAATTTTTTTTAAATTATTTTTTCCCCCGTAATTTTTTTTACTTCGTTCGATCCGATTTATTATTATTAATATTATAAATTATTTTTTTGCTTAAATTGCAGAAAGAAAGAAAGAAAGAACGGAAAAAAATTTGTGATAATAATAATGATATTATGTAAAAAATAATAATAATAATAATAAAAAAAAATAATTCGTAACACATTCGAATGTTAATCGCGTAAAGCTTATACGTTCGATAACTTCGATACGGGAAAAATCTTTCAACTAATAAAAAAACTGAAACTTTAGGCCCTAAAAAAACTATGATAAGAAGTTTAAAATGTTATCAATTATATAAAATTGTCCGAAATGTAATAAAAAAAAAAAAAAATTTTTTTAAATGCAAAATAAAAACGAAATCGAAAAAATTTTTCGCGTTAGACCGAAACCGAGACATCATCATCGTCGCCGTCGCCGTCGATACTACCGTCGTCTGTTTACGTGAGACAAACACCGGAAATTGTTTTCGTTCAGGTTTGAACCTGACTCGAGTAAAATTTAAAAATATAAAACAAAAATATTTCTAACACTTTTTTTTTATTTTATTTTATTTTTAACAAATTTTTCTTATTTTGTTTTGAAAATAGCTCCCGACGCTCCCATTATAATCGGTTGTTTTACCCTTGACAATTAAAAAGTATTTGTGACCGTGAATCTTTATTATTATTATTATTATTATTATTATTATTATTATTATTTATGTAACAATTGAATGCATTTAAAATACAAAACGATTTTTTCCTTTTTTTTTAAACTTTTACAAATCGTTGCACAAGTCGAACAAAATTTTTTTTATTCTTTTGTTTAAAAAAAAAAAACCTTAAAATGTTCTCTCTCTCTTTCTTTCTTTCCCTCTCTATCTCTCTCGTTTAAACGAATATAATAATAATAATAAATAAATCTTTTAATAAAAAAAAAAAGAAAAATTTTCTAAACTATTGCAACCATTACTTGCTTATTAAAAAAAAAAAAAAAAGAAAAGGATTTTGTTTTAGAAAAAAGAAAAAGGTTTAAAAAGGATTTAAAAAAGGGGTTAAAAAACTAAAGTTTTTTTTTTCGAAGGGGGGAGGGGGACGGGGGTGAAGAGTAATTAACGAATATTCATTATTAGTTTTTTTTTTTTTTTTTAATTTATAAATATTTAAAAAGGGCGTTAAAAGTAATTTTTTTAAAAATATATATATTAAAATTAATGAACGTCTATTTAGTTGTTGGATAAAAAAAAAAAAAAAAGGAAAAATTTTAATTTTAATTATTTACCGGGAAAGTTTAAATTTCATGGCCGACGTGAAACAATTATTGCTCACTTAAATTTTAATAATGATGATGATAATAATAATAATAATAATAATAATAAATAAAACGTTTTTTTTTTTTTTTTACTGTTAGACCTGCCAATTATAATTAAAAATAAAAAAAATCCTGAAACCTTTTTGATCTCTAATTTTTTTTTTGTTCTTTACAAGAAGGTTTTTAAAAAAAAAGTAATAAAATGGCAGGAGGAGGGCATTTTTTGCCCCATTTTTTTATCCATGTCTTTCACTGGACAATTATTTACTGGAGAATATTCTTATAATTTAAAAATAATACGAAATTTTATAGATAAATCACAATGTTTGTTACCGAATAGATATTTAATGATAATAATTGTTAGTACTTACATAATGAGAACTGGAGAACTGGTGGCATAATCACAATTTTTGAAGTTTCACGGAATCTGCAAAAGAATTTATTCATCAATAATAATAATAATAATAATAATAATAATAATAATAATAATAATAATAATAATAATAATGATCGTAATAATAATAATAATAATAATAATAATAATAATAATAATAATGATCGTAATAATAATAATAATCATAATAATAATAATAATAATAATAATAATGATCGTAATAATAATAATAATCATAATAATAATAATTTTTTTTGTACTCATTACGATTTTTCCGTTAAAATTAATTTTTTTTGCGATTTTAATACCATCTATATTAGAACTTAAGAACTAAATAAAAAGCTTTGGATTGAAACGTAGTAAAAACAGATGCAATTTTGAATAATGATAAATTTTTTTTTTAGTTTTACATTAATTTGCATTGAGTTTTTCGTTTAAAATTTTATTTGTGTTTTTATATATAAATAATAATTTTGTTATCAACATGTGGTTTATTGATTTCAATAATTATTGAAAAAAAAATTCAAATATGAAAAATGCTTAACCGTTTGTGTCTTAATTGTGGTTGAGTTTTCAACGGTTTTATAATTACCATTGATATACAAAATGTTTTTAAACTGTTTTTATTATAATTAATTATATTTTAAATCTCATATACCAGTTATTTTGAAATATTTCTAACAAGGTGAGGGATACTTTTTGTTATTGGAAAGGATTTGGAGGTTTATTACATTCAAGAAAAAAAACGTTACTGTTAAAATCATTGCTACTGACCTTGCAAAATTGAAAATTTTTTTTTCATAAAAAACACAAAAGTATTTGAAGAAAAAGCTAAAATAATTTGGTATAATAGTATTAAATGCTTTTATAAATTATTTTTACTTACGTAAAACGATTCTGTTTATTATACATAATTATAATTAATTAAAATAATAATTTTTTGTAAAAATACGTTAAGCACCACCAAAAATTTTAAAATTTTATTCGATTGACGCATGCGCAATAAAGGCAATTTTTGATTCCTTCGTAAAATCATGTTTGAGTTGTTTCAAACAAAATGGCCGATTTCAAAATAAATTATTCATAATATTGTTGTTATTTGATTTGTTGTTTATGTAACATTTTAGTACGCAGTAAAACTATTAATTATTAATTAAAATATATGAAAATGATTTAGTTTCTTTTTTTATTTAGTGCTAGTAATTTAATAAAATAATTTAATAATGGATACCATGTTACCCAGTCCGGGGTTCAGCATCCCAAGTGTGGGAACCCCGTTACATCAACCTGAAGAAGATCAACAAATTTTACTTCATGCTCAGCAGCAACAACAGCAACAGCAACCTCAACATGTTATGCCTAGTGCTTCTCCGTTGCAGCCCATGGGTTTAAATTTACCTCATAAACAACATACTTATGCTCCATCAGCGGTCGGTTTCACAACACCACAGAGTTTGATGCAACCACAAACGCCGGTTAGTGGTATTCCCTGTTTTTATTTATCAGATATTTTATTTTAAAATTTGTTAAATCAGATTAGAATAATAATATTTTACATATAATTAGCAAAGTGCAGTACAATTATTACAAGGCTCTGCTTCTATAAGAGACAATCCTCCTTTAAGTGTTGCTCCAGCAACTCCTCAACCGATGACCCCCATGACTCCAGCTTCTGTTGATTCAGGGATAGTGCCACAATTACAGTAAGTTTATCATTCATTACAACTTATTTGTGCTCTACATTGAAGTTTATCGATAATAATAAATTTTCAATTTTTTTTTTTCGTAAACTACAGGAATATTGTTTCTACTGTAAATTTAGGTTGCAAATTAGATCTCAAAAAAATTGCAATTCATGCTAGAAATGCTGAGTACAATCCAAAACGTTTTGCTGCTGTGATTATGAGAATTAGAGAGCCTAGAACAACAGCTTTAATATTTAGTTCTGGCAAAATGGTTTGTACCGGTGCAAAATCTGAAGATGATTCCAGGTTGGCAGCCAGGAAATATGCGAGAATTATTCAAAAACTAGGTTTTGCAGCTAAATTTTTAGATTTTAAAATTCAAAACATGGTCGGAAGTTGTGATGTGAAATTTCCAATTCGACTCGAGGGTTTAGTTTTAACTCATGGACAATTTAGCAGTTATGAACCTGAATTATTTCCAGGTTTGATTTACAGAATGGTCAAACCCAGGATTGTTTTATTAATTTTTGTATCTGGTAAAGTGGTATTAACAGGAGCCAAAGTTAGACAAGAAATTTATGAAGCATTCGATAATATTTATCCAATATTAAAAAGTTTTAAAAAACAGTAACATTAATCTTAAAGAAACAAAAAAAAAGTGTCTTTACAATCATTGATCACATAGATTTTTTTTTTTTTTTTCCGAAAAGAAAAACAGTTTTATATCATTTTTTTTTTTTTTTTACAATTTTTTTTGTAAACTATTTAAAGACTAATTGCTTGATTACATTTATTTATGTGATCACAATGCAATAAAAACTTTATAATGTTTTTATTTTATTTTTTTTTTAAACATATTTATTACTCATCATCATCATCATCATTATTTTTTTTAATAAATGAAAGTTTATATGAAGATAATTTAAATGATTTATTAATTTCAGTATAAAATATTATCAAAAAATTATAAATCATAATTTAAACTTTTATTTTGTTTTTTTTTTTTTTTGTTTTGTTTTTTGTTTTAGTGTTTAAAATGTTTAACTGCAAGATAGGAAAGAGAGAGATGAAGAAAAAATGACTTTTTTAAATAGTCATTTAATTAAAATTAAAAAAAAAAGAATTTCAATTGAAAACATTTACTATTACTTTATGAAAAACGATACAAATGACTGAAAAGAAAAAAAAGAAAAAAAAAATTTACTGGGCTTCCATGGATTCAAAAGCGGCCATTTCAAACTGCGCAAATATGGATTCAATTACTTCTTTAACTGTAGTCATTGCTTCTATAAAGGATTCCGTGCTTAAAGTTCTTATAATTTCAATTAGAATTCCTCGAGCACATTGCTTCGATAGTGGTTCTTCAACAGTAGAATTTCTGACCAAAACGCTGACGACTTTCTCTTTGCAAGTCTCCGGAAGTTTTTCCAACATGTCACTGGTGAGTTTTCTCATTCTTTTTTCATCAAATTCGTGTACATTCCCCGATTTTATATCTTTTAATATTTCCTTTGCTTCTTCGAACATGCTCCTCAATTCTTCTTTATATTTTTCATCTATTTGTTCTAAACTTTCTTCGCAACTTTTTATTTGGGAATTGATTAGAAATTCCGATTCTTTGACGAAGGGTGGTTTAGGTTTAACTTTTAACCTGAGCAATGCTATTTCCGCTTTTAATTCATCGATTTTCAATTGTTGCGATTTGGTTATTTTTTTAAGGTTTTCAATGTCCTCATCGAGTTCTTCGTCTGTTTGAACTTCGTAACACAACATTTTACTTTGTCGTTCGATTTCGTCACGGATTTTTGTTTTTTGCTCTTGGAGAACCGTTAACAAATTGTTCTTGTCCGTGTTTTCCTGTAGTTTTCTGACATATTGGTTTTCTTTTTCAATCAACTTGTCTCTGGTTTCCTTTAATTTTTTTTCAAAATTTCTATCCAATTCTAAAATAATGCTGTGCATTTCGGCGACGAGCCTTTTTAAAAGCGATTCTTCTATATCGTCCATGTTAACCTTGCTTCCAAATTTTCTTATCATTTCCTCTTCGATCTCTTTCGTCAAATTTGAAATTTGCTTTTTCATGTGTTGCACGTCTATTTTTATTCTCGTTAAGTGGAGACGATTTTTTTCGTGTTTTTGTTTTTCCATTTGAGTTTCTTTGTCTAATTCAACTATTCTTTTATTTAAACTCGTGAGTTTTAAAGATGGGAAAAGTACTGATTCTGATAGATTTTCAATTTCATATTCCGTTTTGAAATTTTGAATTTGATTTAACCTTAATACCACTACGGTATTTACTTCGTTCAAATTTCTTTGCTTATCTCTCACGTATTCTTCCAAATCGTCTTTACACACTTGATATTCTCCTTCGATTCGTCTAATTTTTTTAACAAGAGTGTCGTTTTCTTTTCGAAGAGATTCGATTTGTTTTTTTTCTTCCATTATGTTTAATTCTAGTGTGTGACGAGCCGAACGTTGAGTGAATGTCCAATCGTAAAGATTGGGATCGCATCCCGGAGGACAAACGGATTCGTCTAAACGAATGGGTCCGAGATCTTTTGAGTCCAAACTTTTAGCATCTTCTTCTTCGGACGAAGATGAAGATTCCGTTTCCGACTCGGAATCTGAATCTTCCGTTTTCACTTTGGGTGGCCGATATTTTTTTTTAAAAATCCTTCTTAAAAAGTCGTAAAATTTATTGTCAGCGGTTGTCGAATGAAACATGGTTTCCAAATTTTTAATTTCTTCTTCGCACCTTCGAATTTCTCTATTTCTACCTTCTACTTTGCTATTAATTTCGTTCAATTTTTTTTGCGTTTCGTGTCTTTCGCGTAGTTTGTTAAATAATTTATTTTCTTTTTCCTCTTCGGCTGCTTCAAATTTTTTCAAAATAAGAACTTCCTGATGAAGTGTCAAAACAAACAATTCAAGAAACTCGATGTCTATTTCGACTTGATACCTTTCTTCGTTCAAAATATTTATCGTTTCGTCAAATTCCCGAATGCTGGCATCCATTTCTTCGATAATCGAATCTTGTTCAAATAATCTTTTTATAACCCTTAGTTTTTTACATTCTTTTTCCCATGTCGTCATTACAAGATCATCTTTACTTGCTTCTATAAGTTCGTGTACGTTATTGGATCCAGTTATACCAGTAAATTTCATGGCGTTCATTTCGAAAGTTTCCGCGGATTTATTATTTTTCTTTTCTAAAATCAACATTTCGTATTCTTTATCCAAAAGTTTAATTTCTTTTTTTTTCGGTATTTCACTTTTAAAAATTCCCTTGTAACGTTTGGGCAGCTCTTCCATTATTCCCGATAGAGTGTGTTCGAATCTTTTTTCGGGATATTCTAAATTTTCGTCGTAAGTCGGGAGTTTGGGAGGATACCGAATTTTCTCTTTGGGTATTTCTTTGGCTATTTCTAATAAAACGTCACGTAATTGTTCGTGACGCTCGATCATATTTTTCTTTCTTTCTCTCAAATTCAAAACTTTTTCATTAAAGTCTTTTTTTAATTTATATATTTTTTCTTTTGTTTCTAATAGTTTACCGTAGACGTGAACGGTGGTTATTCTTTTTTTCTTAGCTACTTTATAATCTGAAAATAAAATTCATTAAATTTTTTTTTTAAGTCGTCCCGATCGATCAAACATCGAGAAAGGACTTACCATTGGACGTTTTAAGTTGATAATCTCCGACTGTTTCTTTGGCAAGCTCTATTAAAGCAACATCTTCCGGATCCGGTTTGTTCGGATTCGGTTTTTTTTTCATCATTTCATACCATTCAATCCTTCTATTTTCCAATTTGTCTTTTCTTTCTTTGTACTTTCTAAGAAGTCTTCGAAGTTTAATATTTTTTTCGTAATCTCCACAAATGACCATTATTTGTTTTAATATTCCTTCGACCGGATTTGGACGTCTCATGATAGTTTCAACAATTTCTTCTTCAGATATTATCCTGGCTTGTGCTCTGTGAAAGTGTAAAAAAAAATCATTTAAATATTTAATTAATTAATTTATGTATCTATGTATTCAATGCGGTGCTTCAATAACATCAATTCAAAACGGTGCCGTTAATGTCAAATATTTTTTTATCCCACCTAATTTTTATCATCATCGATTTTTCCCATCGTTCTACAGTGTATAGCATTAAAAATGAAATAAAATATAAATTAGGCTGAACGTTAATAATATTTAAGTCAATTTTTTGAGAGGGCAAAAAAGGCGAAATTTAAATATTATTTATTTATTATTATTAAAAAAAAAAAAAAAGTGAGTCAGTTTGTTTAATTAATAAAATCTTACCTGCCTTTAGCTTCTTGTTCTTCTAATTTTTGCGAGACTAAATCTTTAAGATTATCAAAATCCGAGCCCAAATTTTGAAGTCTGAAAGTTTCCGCGTATATGTCTTGATTATTTACTCCGCAAACTTTTATCAAATGATGATCAATGGATTTTATATAATAATTATTTAATTTTTCATGTTGGAGACGACTTTTTTCAACCGTCCAAGCGAGTTTAAATTTAACACTTTCCATTTCTTTTTCTAAAAAACTTGCCAAATCTTCTTCGATTCTATCGTCGATTATAAGTTCGGCCGGCGTTAGTTGTTGAGAGGGCGGAAGTTTAGAATTTCTACGTAAAACTCCTTCGAATTTTTTTTCCAAACCTTTAAGAGTTTCCGTTAGTTCTCTCTTATAAGCGTTAGCATCTCTTAATTTTTCTTCGCTTTCCAATTGATTTTTAACTTGTTCTAAACTTGGAGCTTCGGAATCATCAATATCCGAACTAAATTCTTTCGGCTAAAATTTAAAAAAAAAAAAATTATTCGTTAAGTCGTTTCGAAATTGAAAAAAAAAAAAAAAAAATATCATTTTTTTTTACTTACAAATCCTTTCATGGACAAATATTCTAAATTAACCGGTTTGTAATCGTTATTTTCAGGATGAAAATTATAAGAAAATATGTTTCCGTCTACGCCGCAACTAAACATAATCGAACCATTGTAATTAAAACATATTTGTTTTATCGTACCGTATTCGCAGTCGTGCATTGATAGCGACCAATAATCTCTTAAATTTCTATAATCCGTCTGATCGATTTTAACAATTCGAATTTTACCATCACCCATTCCGAGAATGAGATATTTATTATTATGACTGAAAAAAATCAATTTTTTTTTTTTAAGAAGAGGAAAATAATATGATTCGAAGCGGAAATAGAAATAGCGGATTTGGATGTTCGTTACGAAAATTTTAACTCACTAATAATAATAAGTAGTTATTTCAATATCATCCGCATCTGGTATCATTTGAAAATGCGTCGGTCCTTCAGTATTTAAGTTATATTCGTACATGTATCCCGCATCGTAGCCACCCATCGATAACCAAATGGATTTTCCGACATAAGTTGCAAACAAAATCGGACTCGGAATTTTGGGAATGTGTATTTCCGGTAAGTCTGGTTCAACCGATTCAAGCTCTTCCTTTAAAGCCTCTAAAACAAAATTCTTACTAAAAGCAAAATTCAAGGTCGTAATACAACACTATTTTTTAAATAATTCGAATGATAAAATTCATATATTCGAATTAAAAATTTTTCACGTGAATATTAAATTTACCAAGAACGGCTTGATCCACTTGAGTTCCGGAAGATTCCGCTTTTTCTTTTAATTCTCTTTTTTTTTCTTCCAAAACCTTTTTTCTCTCTTCTAAAATTTCATCCCTTCTTATGTTTCTTCTCACTTCGCTTTTAATACTGACAAAGCTTCGCTTGTGATAAGGAAGATTATCGAGGAAATAAGATGTCGGGTCGGGAAAATCTGGTTCTTGCGGAAGGTCGATTTCTATAAAGGTACCATTTTTACAAGAAATCTAAAACAACAGAAAAAAATAAGACATTTAAAAAAAAAAAATAAATAAGGAATTTTTAGCGTGAATCAAAATCTAAATACCAGAATTGTAGCATCTCTTCGAGGTTTCCAAGCACAATGAGTTACTTCTCCCATGACGGGAACGTAACCGATGGGTAATAATCTTACAAATTCTTTTTTTTGAATTATTTGAAACAAAAAAATTGTACAATCGTTACTTCCTGTGACAATTAAATTTTGTTTCGGATTCATTGTTATAACGGTAACGCATTTCGTGTGCGGTTTTAAAACTTGTATTAAATTTATGTAATCTCCAGTTGGCGATGGTACTTTGTTTATATATTCCATTATGGAAACGCAAATAACTCTAATTACGCCATCTGTAAATCCTCCGATGAGAACATTACCCGAATTTTCAACCTGAAGTAACATAATAAATTCACAGGAAATAATTACTATAAAAAACGGAAGTTTGGAAAAAAAAATTATGTGTGCTTACCGTCAGTGGTAACCAAAGGAGAGAATAACCTCCAGCTAAAAATTCTTTTTTTAACATTAAATTTTTATTTTTTAAATCATAAATGAAAAATCTTCCATCTTCTCCTAATGATGCCAAATGAGGAGAATAAGGACTGGCTTGAATGGCTGCAACCGTTCCTGAATGAGATTGCAAAATCATTGACGGCGGTTTTGCCGAAGTGCTTTTGGAAAGATCTAATTCCCATATACCGCCATTTCCATCCTTGAAAATTTAAAAAAAAAGAAAGAAAATTAGATTTTATAATTCATAGAATCCGGACACGCAGGAATTTAAATATCAACGTACCTGACCGTACCATAAATTGTTTGGACTTTTATTAGTGGCTTGTTCGATGACCAAAAGTTTTGCTTTGTGATAATAATCACCAACTTGGAGTTCGAATATCGGATCTACTTCGATAAATTTTTCTTCTTCCGTCGGATCTGCTAATTCAATGGTTTCATAATACCAAAATTTTATCGTTCCATCCATGGCTGCCAAAATTTCATTAAAATTAAATTAAAAAATCCAAATACCTGATAAATATTCAATCGATATATTTTTTTTTAAAAATATTTTTGCTGATGACTCACCGATTGTCGTCAAATCTCCATTGTTATATATGATTTGCGTGATCGGAGCTTCGTGACAGAAATTTTTTCCTCTTCTGAAGACTTCGACTCTTATAAGGCCTCCATCCCAAACTAAAATATTACCCCAATCGGAACCAGACAAGACTTTCTCATCGGGGAGTGCCAAAAATCCAATTACATTGCATATTTCCGTTTTACCAAATCTTCCAAGTTCCCCGAGAAGTTTCAAACCGGTAAAAGTTTGATTCATTTTCCAAAATTTTATGTGACTCACGCCTGTTTATTTTTTTTTTAAATACAAAAGAAAAAAAAATTATTATTATTATTATTATTAGTATTATTAAACTAAGGCGAACGTTTATGAAAATGAAAAGGCAAAAAAAAAAAAAATTATTATTATTATTATTTTTATTTTTTATCTGCTGACCGCTCGATGTTAAATGACCAGGAACGTACAAAGAAAACCGAGTGTTAAAAACTGTGTGATTGTAGGCTTTAGAACGCAACATTATTTTTCTTTTTTTCCAGTTCCAAATGGTCAAAGTGTAATCCGGATAATGACCCTGAGATAATAAAAGTTCTCCATCTGGACTGAAATTCAGATACGTAAATGCTATTTTAGTACCACCGGAAAGTACGGTCACTATTTCTAAAGATGGCCATTCGTAAATTATTATATAAGGATTTACACCCTTTTCCCCGACCGCTAAGTGAGGATACACAGGATTTTTCTGGAATATAAACAATACAACAAAAAAAAAATGCAAATTAACCGGAAAATAGGAAAGCAGAAAAAAGAAGTCACCGGGCTTACCGCTATATGACCGACTCCACCTCCGGTATAACACCTTCTAAATGTTTTTTCTCCAGTTAAAACGTTATAAAAATGTATTAAACTTCCAGATGAATATATAATCAAATCATTTTGCGGTACGCAAATATTAAATAATTTATGACAATCGTAACCGTAAGAATAATTGAATTTTAAAATCCCTTCCGGTATTGTACAACGTGGTGATAGATAAGGTTTCGATATGTATTCATCGGCGTTGTAAACAATTTCTTCGATTTCTTCGTGTTCTTCTTCTACTAATGATAATTCTTCATTTTCGTAAGCGTATTCTTCACCTTCTTCACCTTCTTCACCTTCTTCACCGTAAAAAAATTCTTCTTGATCATTTTCCGATTCACTTCTTTTCGTCGTCGATGGTGAAGGCAAAGACGACGACGCACTTTTATCTACCGACATATTAATTATTATTTTTTTTTGACTTGTTAATCATTAAAAAAAAAAATTAATAAATATTTTCAATCACTAGGAAAAACATCTCCATGGGAACTGTTAACCTGCGAAGGTTGGCAACACTATCGTTCGTGCCGTCGTGTGTCTGTCACCATCGTTTATCCATCAACTTTTCCTTAATGACGTCATCGTACAAGGTAAACAATAATTTTTTTAAATTTTTTCTCCGACGAATTATTTCGGCATTATTATTGTTTCGATTTTCCCCTCCCCCCAATCCGCCATTTTATCGATTCGATTCGATTTTAAATATTAATTAATAAATAAATTCAACGAGAAATTTAATTTAATTTAATAAATATTGAATATCGATAAATTTTTATTAAATAAAACAAAATAAAAAAATATACGATACGATTTCAAGTTTATTTTCTAAAAAAAAAAATCATTCGAGTGTGAATAAAAAAAAAAAAACTTTTTTTAATAATAATAATAATAATAATAATAATAATAATACTAATAATAATAATATTTTTATATCGTACTTTCGTAAAAAAAAAAAATTTTTGGTTTACGAATGTGAAATAAAATTTTTTTTTTTAATATTTATGCCCATGAAAAATTTAAAGACCATCAAAAAAGTTTTTTCTTTTTTTTTTTTTTTGCAAATTATTAATAAAAAAGAGGAAGGGGGAAGGGTGGGAAAAAGTTTTAAAGTTGTTTAAAACTTTTTTTTTTTTTTTTTAAATCTTGTTGCCAACTTAAAAATTTTTAAAAACAAAAAAAAAACTTTTTTTTAAAAAAAAATTTAAATTTTTAATAAAACCAAATAAATAAATAAATTTTACATTCTCCCCCCTTTCCCTTTCCCCCCACTCGAAACATTTTTATTAAGTTTAGTCGTAATAATAATAATAATAATAATTTTTGAGGCGTTAAAAAAATAATTTTCCTTTTTTTTTCGATGTTGGTAATAATAAAATAATTAGAGAAAGAAAAGCGGATATGATTAAAAAATGGAATTTTTTTTTTATATTTAAAAAAAAATAAATTTTTTAATAATTTTATTTATTTATTTATTATATTAATTTACAATTTATTTATTAAACAATTATTTATTTATATATATAATTTATTAATGTGTTATTATTATTATTATTTATTTATTTATTTATTTCGCCGTAGGAAGACATTCACTTCTTCGCTTTTTTTTTCCTTTTCCTCCTTCATCCATCTTCTTCTTCTAGTCGTTTCCTTTTATTTTTTTAAAAGCCGTAAAAAATTATTTATTTATTTATTTATGTATAATTTAAAATATTTAATAACAGCATATTAATAATAATAATAACGGATTCATCTAAAAAATAATACGAAGCTCGTTAAAATATTTATAAATAATAATATTTTTTCAAATTCGTTACGATAACTCCTCGAGTAATGAAATTCTAAAAAAGAAAAAGAAAGAAGAAAATATCATAATTAATTTTTAACTTCCGGTATTTTTTTTTCTAAAAAAATTTTTTCAAGCATAAAATATCAATTTTTGTTTTCACTTTACGTGGCGGCGGTGTGCAGTATGTTGCAAATATTAAAAAAAAAAAAAAAGGAAAGAAAGTAAATTTTTTTTAGGAAGGAAGGATTTATGAGCCCAAAAGTTTAATAAATCACTTAAAAAGTCGATTATTAAAAAAAAAAAAAAAAAAAAAAAAAGTTTTTTAAAAACTATGTTGTTACTTTCGACAACGTCGTCGTCGTCGTCGTCGACGACGTCGACAACTTTGTCGAATCCCAGGTGTTACACCCAAAACGTTAATGTGAACGTCATTAATATGGTGGGGGCGAGAAAATAATAAAAAAAAAAAAAGTAACGATGATAATAATATTTAAGTGATGTAAAAACTTTTCCGAGTTTGAATGTAAATTAATTATCAAAATCACGGGGAACACTATATATAATAATAATAATAAAACATCATTTTTAATTTAATTTTTTTTTTATTACGTTGGCATCCCTCGTCGTATATATGCCGACAACAGGAAAAAAAAAGTGTGAAAGTAATTGCTCGAATTAAACAAAAAAAAAAAAAAAAATTATTTTAAAAAGTTTTTTTTTTATTTTTATTTTTTTAAACGAGACAGGGCTGACAACAACTGAAAATAAAATAATAATAATTTCAAATATATATATATATATATAAAGAAATAAAAAAAAATTTAAAAAAAAGTAAATTAATTGCTCTTGAAAAAAGAAAAGAAGAAAAAAAGTAAAAAAAAGCTTGAATTTCAAAAATCATCAAAAATCCGCCCGCGCGCGCGCAAATAATAATAATAATAATAATAATAATAAATTTTCGTTAATTTAAATTTGTGCGATTTTTCTTGTTGTTAACAATAACAACGAGAGAAAAAAAAAGTTTTTTTTTTTTCATTCGAAATAAATTTTATTATTATTATTATTTATTTTTTTAAAGAACGAATTCGAAAACGAAGAGATTGCGTGAGTGGGTGAGTGCGTGGGTGGGTGGAGGATGTGCGGTATAAGGAAAGACAACAATAAGAAAAGAAAATTTTTTTTTTTTTTTTAACATTTTTGAATTATTTGAGTTTTAATATTTACATATATCTAAAATTTTATGCTTTCGATGGGAAAATAAAAAAGAAAAAAAAAAACTGGAAAAACAAGGCCTGGAAAAGTTTTTTTTTTTCTTTGGAAAAACATTTTATCTTTTATTCTTTTTACTCTTTCCAGTAACAAAAAAAAAAAATTTATTTTATTGATTCTATTTTTCGAGTTGGAAAATAAAAAAAAAAAAAAAAAAAACAAACAAATAAATAAACAAAGCAGAAGATAACAACTATCGATTATTATTATTTTTTTTTTTTTACCTTCGCTGTCGCGGTTTTTCATTTCCGTATCCGTTTTTTTTTCTAAAAAATTACTCGGAAGTATAACAACTTGTGTAGCATCCGAACCTATTCTCGGTTTTTCTTCTTCAATGGTTAATTCAATGGCTTGATTATAAACGTTGTGAATGTTTGCTGAACATCTAAAATAACGGAAAATGGTTTCAAAAAAATAAAAGTTTTTTCGGGGGGTCTTTTTCCCTCCTGTCTCCCCCCCCCCTTCCCTCTCGTTTTGATTTTCTTCATTGAATGAAAATTAAAATTTTAAACAATCTTTTCCTTCTCCTTCTTCTTTTTCTTTTCCATCTTTTTATTTTGCCACCAAAATTATTTTCATCCGAAATTTTAGAAACAATGCTTTCCCTTTCCTGGACTTTTTAGAGACTTTACCAAAAAAAAGAAAAGCGGAATGAGTAAGAAGAAAGAAAGATGGGTGACAGTAGTAGGGAAAACTTAATTTCCGTCAGAATTAATTTCCCTTTCTTTTTCGGGCCCTTTTTCTATTCGTAAAACAAGGCCCGAAAATTCATTTATCACCCCCTCCCTTCATGCCTTTCCCCCCGGATTTCTCCCCCCGGTTTGTTAAAATTTTCAAATTATTTATAGAGTTTTGTTACTTTTTATTTTCATTTTTTTTTGTTACAAACCTCACTTTGAGTTTTCCACTTTTAAACGAATGAGTTTTAACGATAAATTTTAATCTTGATTTTGATACCAAAAGCTGTCTGCTATCTTTAATTGTTGTCGTTGTCACCCACAAATGATCTCTGTGCACCTGAAAATAAATAAATTTATTTATTTACGTCATTTCAATTTTAAATTAAATAAATTTAAAAATAAAACCATCGATAAATAAAACACGCGTCAATCATAAAAATATTATTATTATTATTATTATTATTATTAATAAATTTTTTCGTTATAAAAATAAAAAGGTTTAAAAATTTTGTCACTCAAAATAATAAAAAAAAAAAAATTTATATATATTTGAATTTATGAATATTGGTGCTTTTAAGCCGATTGCTTTACTAAATCATTTTTTTAGAAAAGTGGCAACACCGCTGCCGCTTCACGACATCGTATCGTATCGTTACCGTACCTAAAAACCCGCCCTCCCTCCCCCCCCAAATATCGAATAAACAAATCATTATTATTACTACCTTTAATGTACTTTTTTTTCTTTCTTTTTACTTCGATGAAAATTTTCTTAAAAATTTGACTCACGTTTATTATTATTATTATTATTATTATTATTATTATTATTATTATTATTATTATTATTATTATTATTATCATTATTTACGATTTCGTTTTCGATATATCGTTTATCGATAAATAATTAAAAATTAACGATATATATAAATTCGATTTTTATTTATTTAAAAAATTTCGAAATTTTTATATAAAATTTTATAAAATGGCGCTTATATTATAATTGTCATAAGTTAAACATGTAATTTATTAAGACGAATAATTTTCGTTGTCGAAAGTAAAAAAAAAAAAAAAAAAAAAGCTGTGAGAAAAATTTTTGTTTATTGATGGTTGTCGGTTGGGTAAAAAAGAAACCGGGTGTGAGAAGTTAAAAAAGTCAAAAAAGGAAAGTCAAAGGAAATAAGTCAAAGGATGGACGTACAAAAGAGGGAAAATTTAAAAAAAAAAAAAAAAACCTTTTATGTAACAAACGGGAAATTACCAAATAATTTAACTTAAAGAAAATTTTTTTTTTGTTTCGTAACAAAAAGGCGGACAATTTTTCAATTTAAAAAAAGGGTCTTTTTGTAAAAGGGTTTACGACACTTTGTACGCCCCCACCCCTTCCCGTCCTCCTTTTCCCCATTTCCGGTCCCCCTAAATAAATGAATAAATAATACAAATTTTTTGTGGAAAATAATTATTGTTATTAATTATATCTCTAACATTTTTCAACCGAAAAAAAAAAAAAAATTTAGCTAGAAGGTAAAAGTCCATTTTTTTTTTATTATCAAATACCTTTGAACGCTTTCCTTTGGGCACGATCAATTTCCTTTTATCAAAATTACTTCCTATTTTTTTAATCGTTTTAAAAAAAATAACCCCTCGACATTTTATAATACGCGACCACCAATTTTTTTTTTTTACAACCGTTTTGTCGACAACCAATTTTTTTTTTCAAATCCGAAAATCACGTGATTAAAAGGAAATAGAAGAGGAGGGAAATAGGGAGGGGAGGTGGGGGGGAAGAGGGAGAGAGAGAAAAAAAACGTAAATTTAATAATAATTTAAAAAACAAAAAAAAAAAAAAAAAACAAGATCTTGTTTTTTGAAATCGAATAAAAAAATAAAAAATACGTAAACGTCGTTTAAATGAATGAATTTTATTTTTCTTTTTATTATCATTATTTTTTTTTTTTCATTTTTTTCTGCGCAAAAGGTTAAAAAAAAAAGAAAAAAAAATTTTTTTTTTTTATTAATGTTGTAATTTATACGTTGAGCATACAAAAAAAAAAAAAAAACGAACGACGAGAACGATAATCATAATAATAATAATTCAGTTTGAAAAAGGAAAAAAGGAGAGAGAGAGAGAGAGAGAGAGAGAGACAGGAAAAAGGGCAAAGGACAAATTTTGACAGTAAAGATCAGGTTAAACAACTTAAACAACATCACCCTGAAGAAAACTCTCGCTTTGACAAAAAAAAAAAATACTGTAACTAACAACTGCTCATGTGTATAAAAAAAAAAAAAAATTTCTTTTCCTTTTTTCCTTTTTTTTCATTCCTTTTCTTCAACCACTTTTCTTTTCGAAAAAAAAAAAAATTAATTAAGACGATCGAAGAAAAAGTTTTTTTTTGCTTTTTTTTAAGAGTTTGACTATTGTTTTTTTTTTTTTTTTTTTAAATTTTTATTATATACTGTTTTCTATTGTGAATAACAAATTAATTTTTCAACTGCCCCCCCAAAATGAAATATTAAATTTGATTAAAAACTTCTAGAAAATTTATAACCAACAAAATTTCATCCGGCTATGAAATGTGCAAAAATTTTAATTAAAATTCGTTTTGCGTTAAAAATTTTCTTTTTTTTTCTTTTTTGTAATTTTAATATAAAAATAATAATAATAATAATGATAACGGTTGTAAACTTTAATTGTTATTATTATTATTATTATTATTATTACGACACAATCAAATTCTGGAATTTTGCTGTTGCCCTAACTGACAAACACACACACAAGCTCCGTTTTTGACGATTATTGTCATTATTATTATGTCATATTTTCCGTTTATTAAAATTTAATCCTTGTTTAAAAAAATAAATTCTAAAAGGAAACAATTTTTTTTCCCGCGCTTTTTTTCATCAACTTCCGGTTTAGAAAAAAAAATATTTAATGTGAAATTATGCGGAAAGAATTGTAGTAATGAATGAACGCAATGTTTATCTTATTCGAAATCATATCCGGTGACGTGTTGTGACGTAGTTACCCACGTGACAGGTATAATACGTCACAAGTTTTGTTTCACATTCGTTCAGTTTTAAGCTGGACATAAGACTATAACGTAGTACAAAACAAAAGGTAAATAAATTATTATTATTATTTATTTTTATCGGTTTTTTTAAAAAATAAAAATGAATTATTATTAATAATAAATTATTTAAATAGTTGAGAGATTAAAAAAAATAAATAAATATATGTATTAAAACGTTAATAAAGATAAATTAAAATATATATGGTTATATTATCAGAATACATTATCATTATTATTACGCAATAAAAAATCTCTCTCTCTCTCTTACACACGGAATATAATATTATAAAATAATTTTTTTTTTTTTTAACGAATGATGTCTCGGGGGTTACGTGTATTATTATTTTCCAGTGAGTTTTTTTTTTTTTCTCCAGAATCTTATAATAGGGAGGACACCATTCGCCCGCATTATAAAAAGAAAAACCGACACGTACAACAAAATATATCCTATTTACGTTATATGGCGACAAAAAATCCGTTATTAATGATTTTTTTACCCTTTTGCCCTCTGGAACTTTTTTTTTTTCTCCAAACCGGCCTTTTCCTGGAAACCTTTTTTTTTTTTTATAAATCGAAAAAAAAAAATTTATCGGAAAAGGTTTTTTTTTTTTTTTTCCTAATTTAAAAAGCGAAGTGAATAAAATGCATGCAACGAATGGAAAAGAGAGAGAGAGAGATATGGTAAATATGTGTGAGTGTGTGCGTGCGTGTGTGTTCGTTAAACGCGTTCGAAACTTACCTTCATTCATTCTTATTATCTTCTGCTTTTTATAACTGACAATATTAAAATTTATTTATTTTTTTTTTTTTTTAGTTAAAAGCTTTGAAAATTTTTTTTTTTTTTTTAAACGGAAACGGAAATGAAATCGTACCGACGTCATCGTTTTTAAAACAAAAAAATTGAAATTAATAATAATAATAATAATAATAATAATAATAATAATGATAATAATAATAAACGAGAAATTTTTTCTAAAATTCGTCATTTTTAAAAAAAAAAAATTTAATTTTAATAATATTTCCTTCAAAAAAAAAAAAAAGAGTTGCCCGTTTCGTGATGTCGGATAAAAAAAAAAATCAGCAGACGATGTTTTTTCGAATATTTTTTGACAAAAATTTATTATCATTATCATCATTATTATTATTATTATTATAAATTAATTAAATTCTACGTCGAAATGATTTTTTTTTTTTGAAAACAAACAACAACCTCGTCGTTGTCGTTGTCGACGTCGTCGTCTCAGTTTATTAATTAATTTTTCTCTTTTTTTATATTTTTTTTGTTTAAACAATTTAAATTTAAATAAATTCGCGATGGAAAATTTTTTAAATAAAAAATATTATCATTATTATTAATAATCAAAGCGCGAATTCTTAAAAATCGTTCGTAATAATAATAATAATAATAATAATAATAATCGTAGGTACGTTAAAAAATTTTTTTTATTTTTTTTTTAAAACTTTAAAAAAAAATTTTTTTTAATATAAAAATTAAATAACGTTTGACCTTTCACACGATGTTGATGATGATAATAATAGTGATGATGATGATGATGATAATGATGATGTTAATAATCTTCTTCTTTTTTTTTTCTTTTCCCTTTCGGCCTTTTTTTTATGTTTAAATACATTATTCACAATTTCAATGTACTTGATAATTAACCTCTCAATAATAATAATAAGAGAAAGAGATGGAGAGAGAGAGAGAGAGAGAGAGAAAAGGGAAAATAAAAAGTTAAAAAAAAACTCATAACATAATAAATTTAATTTATTATTATTATTATTTTTTATATATATAAAAAAAAAGACGTAATGAAAATATGTACATAAAAAAAAAAAATTTCATTTTTTATTTTTTATTTTTTAAACAAAAAAAACTCATTCTTCTTTTTTTTTTAATTTTTCATTTTTCCCTTTTTTTCCCTTTTTTTTCTCGTTTTTCTCCCTCTTTTTCTCCCCTTCTCCTAAGAGCCTCCTCGAAAAAACAAAAAAAAAATTCATAATAAAAAAAAGAAAAGATTGAACCTCAACATGAAGCATTCAGGCAGTGCTGCTTCTTCAATTTCCGAAAGCGACATGTTTTATTTTTTCTCCTCCCACGTCACGTCCTTCCTACTCTGTATTTTCGCAAAAAAAAAAAAACCCTTTTGAACCTTATTCTTCCTCCTCCTCCTTCTCTTCCTTCCCCCTTTCATCCCCCTCCCAACCCGTTCGTTTTTCATCCATCGTTTTTCCTCCCGCGGCCTTTTTTCGACGTTATTTTCACCTCCATTTCGTTCCTTCTCCCCACTCACCCATCCACCCACCTTTCTTTCCCTTTCGTTCCTTTCTCTTCTCACCACCACCACTACCACTGCTAATCTTTTAAAAAAAATGACGTTTCAAAAAGCTCGACTCCTGACTCCCTTCAATTTTCTTTTTGCAAATTTTTTTTTTTTTTTTATACATTTACCCTCTCTGACCCTTTCTATTTCTCCTATATATATATCCTTTATCTAATTTTTTTTTTATTCATTACTTTGTAACATCTCACAAGCAGAAAAAAATTTCCTCCCTCCCTTTCCCTTCCCACATCCCATGGTAGAATCCACCCTGAATTTTTCTCCTTCTTCTTCTCGTTTGA